AGGTCTCGTCTTACACATCGTTGAGACGACGGCCTCACTTCCTCCTACAGAGAAGCCATACTGACAGCAGAACTGAAGTTTGAGTTTGTTGTGACTTGCTCATAGTTATATGTTGTTTTGTGTCTTCTTACAGTTGTTTTATGTCTCTTTGTATTCATGCCAGACTGTTTGTAGGGCTTTCGCGCCTCATTGTATTTAATTTGTGTCTCTTTATGACGGCTTTCCATCTGTTCGTAGCCATTCAGAAGCAGGTTTTTATTTATTTGCTGTTGCTTGTCTTTGTACATTGTTGTAGATTATTTATGTTCATTTTATTTAATTTTCAACATGTAAACGACTCAGGCCAACCATCCAATCTCCTTGTGATTGTTCAGATCTGGGCACAGTAGGCTTGTGTTATTGATCCTTATCTTGGTATTTAGCACACAAAAAGGTCTTTAGAAACCTGGACCTCTTCTGTTCTAATAATCACAGTAATATTACGTCTACTTATCATCCTGTTGCCTTATGTTAGTGTCGAAACATGCCAGGCAGCTATGTGAAGCATTGTGGGGACCCAAAGATGTTCCTTCACCTTCCTTCGGGGGACATTAAGTCCCATACGGTCGATCACATTTTAGTGTGAGCGCTTGGTTATAAGTCCAGTTAAGTGATGAAAACAGGTCTGTGTGTGTGTTACCTCCATGTTGCTGACTCGTCCCTCCTGGAAGGAGCAGTCCTGCAGGTTGTTGGTGCAGATGTGACGATATTTACACCAATGACACGGAAACTCACTGCTGACACAGGAAGTGCACCTGAGAGAGGAAAGAGAGAAAAGTTCTGAGTGGTCGAGCACAACCAGCGAGAATTTATGAGTTCATTACCGAAGAGACACACGAGATAATTAGGTTAGAGGTGTTTAAGGCTTACGAGTTGAGCACAGAGCAGTTGTAGTAGATGAGGTTTGTGGTGATGAACTGGTGTCCAGTCTCTGTGGAGCGAAGGCTGAGCTGCACCACTCGTTTTGCTCCTGAAATTAACAGCATAACAACATCCTTCTTAATACTTAGTTCATAGTGATCAATATAAGGGCGCGTTACACTGAAGCTGACATGATTACAAAACATTAAATGTGATAACAGAGAAAAACGAGAAGGCAAAAGAAACAAGTTCAGAATAAGCGGGTGTGTGTATACTTGTTTTTCTGCTGTTTGGGGACTTGCATTAGCACAAT